CTGTGTTCAGGTTTGAATGTAGTAATAATAATGCAAAAACCTACACTTCAAATCAACAATTAAAACAACAAAAAATATAAACCTTGACAAAACGTATTCTTTGAGAATGCCTTAATATACATTTAAATCCACAACCTAATAAAAGTAAACAATTATGTATAAAAACAACTAGGGAATTCACAAGCATCTCTATAGAGTCCTATACAGGCATCTAGTGGTTACACCATGAAATTACAGGTTTTTCTTTTTTCTTTTGCTCTCACCAGGAGGTGCAATTCTGCCTTCAAAATTTTGATTTTAAAGGCCTAGTCTTTATTTTAATCTGAAATACTGCATTAATTGAAAAATTATTTTAAAAAATAAAAATTTTGTACTATTTTCTATGGGAAAATCTGATCATAATTATTGCATAAATATTAATTAGTACCAAAAAATCCTCTCAAAATACAAAAGAAAAATTTTATTGAACAAAAATATATTAGATTGATTTTACTGAAGAAGAAAAAAAAGTTACATTTCTACTGTCCGGTCACTTTTGACCGCGAAGACCATGAGTGTGACTCCCAAATGAGGAGCGCACAAAAATGTCCTTCTTCCGTTGGATATTGTCCCGCTGAAGTGTTTGTGATTGATTGATCGCACCTCTCCTCTCCACAGCATCGGTGCATTTCCTGACGAACTGAGGGACGCTGCTTTTCTCTCGCTCACACAGCAGCTCCAGCCCGCAGCCGAACACCTGATCTGAGATCAGAAACACAGAGCAACAGGTCAGAGCCAGAGCAGGACACTCACACAGACAACATCAGCAAATAACTTCACATTCCATTTCATTTTGAATGGAAACCCAATTAAATGTTTTTAAAGAAGTCTCTTCTGTGCATCAAAGCTGCATTTATTTGATCAAAAACACAATAATATTATGAAATTCGAAATGTGAATATATTGTAAAATGTCATTTATTTCTGTAATGCATCATTACTCCAGTCTTCAGTGTCACATGATGCTCAATTATTATTGGTGCTCAGTTATTAATAATGGTTCTTCTTATCAGTTTTGCTGCTTAATATTTTACTACTACTGAAAAGGACAGCATTTATTTGAAATATAAATCTTTTGTTACGTTATAAAGGCCTTTACTGTGACTTTCGATCAATTAGATGCAAATTTGCTGAATAAAAGCATTAATTTCTATAAAAAACAAACATTTGAATGGTAGTATTTCATGCTTTCTGCATAAATATTACTTTACTGGAATGGAGTAATGATGCTGAAAATTCAGCTTTGATCACAGCAATCAATTACATTTTACAATATATGCACATAGGAAACAGCTTTTTAAAATTGTAACAATATTTCACAATATTAGTGTTTGTACTGTATCAAATAATTGCTGTTTTGGCGAGAAAAAGAAAATCATTTTATTTACAATGACCATGAATTAATGGCTATGAATGTTATTTGTAATATATGGAAATACAGTACTTGTCAAACGTTTGGAAACATTACAATTTTTAAATGTTACACACACACACACACACACACACACACACAAACGCACACAGTCACACACT